AGAAAGAAGAAAAGTTGTTGTGCATCTCACCCTTATACTAAAAAATATTTTATAATCACTGATATGGTAACAGTAAATATTAAAAAATTAGAAAATACAAAAATACATAATTAAGAACAGTATTTTTATAGTTTAGTACATAAAATGTTATATAATATGGGGGGAGTTATTTATCAAGAAGCATGAATGAATTGAATGCCCTAATTCAATATTTTTAAAATGTAATGTTTTGCATATATCTCACTCAATAGACTTTTCTAAGAACATAAGCAACAACAGGCCTAAAGAAAATTCAAATATTCTTTTTTTTTCAAATATTCTATTATGCATGGAACACTTAAGTAGTTTCCTCTAAACCTGGAACTTCACACATCTTATTGTATCAAGTCCTTAATATGTCATTTGAATACTTTTCCAATACATAAATAAAACCAATTAACAAATTGTTTTACCTCCATTCCTATTGTTTGCTTCATACCATATACCTAATCAGTAGTTGAACACAAAAATATTATCTTACTCCCCTATCCAGAAACCTCTCTCCTTATACCTCCTAAATTGATATTTTCCAATGTCAAGAATCTATGGTTTCATGATTTCTAATAGCCCTCTCAACCAATGTCAAGATGACTTTCAGAGAATTTTAAATCTTAAGAAGATCTTCAGTAAATGATTTATTTTACTTTGCGTTACAGAAATTGAAAACCTCTGATAACTATTTTTTCTAATCACTTCTGGGAAGATCCAAGGCTTACCTTTTTTGAGTTTTATTACCTGTAAGGAAAAAAAAATCATTTCCCTTTCTACATATACCATTGATATTACAAATATAAAAGTTCAAATACAATTTTGAAAAAATTTATGCAAAAGGGATATAGGACCCATTCAGGAACAGTCAATAAATTCAGATGCAAATTTTTCCCATAATTTACTGTGGAAAAAAACTTTACCTGTAAGAAAAGCTAGAGATGGAAAGAGTATATACAGATGAGAGACAAATGTAAATTAGTGAGATACTACAAAAAAGAAGTTAACCAAAAAGCTCTGTAAACAAAAATTGAAATTAGAAAACTTCAGAGAAAGGAATAAGCAAAATAGTACTAAGATCCCCTCCAAGAGAGGAAAAAAATAAAAACAGAAATGGACGCTTTTAGAATGTCCATTCTAAATGGACAAACAAAAGTAAAAATATAAAAAACTGTGAGCCCCCCCTCAAAATCTCAATTTCAAGGGTGGCCATAGATATATGACAGTATCATGTTTTAGAATTCTAAAGATAAATTTTTCAGCTCCTTTTCAAAGACACAACATTAAAACATATGACTGAAAATGATAGTATTTTACTTGCAGTACGTAGTAAAAATCTGTTTATACATGCTACATTTTATCACCAAACACAGTTGGAAAAATTTCAAAGGAAATAAAGTGTCATAAAATAACATCAGGTAGATAGAAAATATCAGTTTAAAAGACTCTTAGAAATTAATTATTTGGAAACCTTTTTAAAAACAGAAATGAACATTTATCTCAACTATTAAAGCAACAACTTTTTCACATATTTAATGACAAATTTGAAATATTTAAAAATGAAATTACATTGTATTAAAAACTATTGAAGCACATTCTATCCTTAAAACAGCAACTATCTGCTGAAAATATAGGGAAGGACACAGGTATTAATAACTTTTTTGTAGTTGTATTAACTTGATATGAAATTATGTCAGTTTAATTCAAGATGACTTATTGAAATAGCCTTTTACAATACATAAATCTTCTATCATATTCGAGAATGTTAATACAACTTATATTAGATTGGCTTGAAATTTTCACAAAATTAAATGTCTTATTTTCCTAACGGCATTGGGAGCAAATCAAGTCACTTTGCAAATGGGAAGAGGACCAAAGATGGAAAAAGGGGAGAAGAAGGGAAGGGAAAATAAAAAGAATTAAGATGTGCTTATGCATATGTACCAAACTCTGCATGATAAATGTAAACATTATTATACTACAAACATGTACTAATAAAAAAATGAATGAAATAACAGTACTTTGGGGAGAAATTGTTACTGTAAATAACAGAATGCTGAAGGGATGGGCGAACTTTGGAGGGGAAAAAAATCTATAACAGGAAAATGGAAGAGTCTTTTGTTGATAACTTGAAGAAATGTGAAGCGGGTAGAGGGAATAGAAAGTAGTGTCCCAATACCGAATAGTTTCTCTGGTGTAAATAATCTGCAATAATACAGAAGATCCTAATAAGATTACTGACATTGAGAAATGGGAAGAAAGGAGCTAAAGGTGTAGGGAAGGTGGAATGGGTAGGGGAAGGGTAATAAGGGAAAAGAAAAAAATGTGAGATAATGCAAAGATGGAAATAAAGTGTTTGTAGATGGGGAGGGGAGGAGGGGGTGAAGGGAGGGCAGGGACAAGGGGAAAAAATGAGAACCAAGACTTGTCATGTAGAGGTACAAGATCCCAACAATGAATGTAACTGTACTGTATCCCTAAAATGTACCAATAAACTCAATTAAAACTGGAAAAAAAAAAAAAGAAAGAAAGAAAAAAAGTAGTGTCCCAAAGCAAAAGACCAAGTTTAAAGTATAGCGGCTTCTGCTGATCGAAGAGCAGTCAAGAATAGAACCTAGAGATTGGTTTGGTGAGATTCCATACTCATTCCCACTTTCCAACATAGTTGCATGTTATCAGTCACATTAGTCTGGCTCTTCCATGACATAAATCTATGTTAAACTCTAAACCATTTGTTTTTCTTATAAATAGATATAGAAAGTAAATATAGTAAACTTAGTCAATTAAAATATAATGCATATGTAATAATTTATTTGGCTAATTATATATAATCTACAAAATATATATCTCAATACAATTTTGAAAATTAAAAATAAGATAAATTATTTCGGGCCAGGGATTTGGCTCAGCAGTTCCGGCGCCTGCCTCCCAAGTACAAGGACCCGAGTTCGATCCCCGGTACCAAAAACAAACAAACAAAAAAAGATAAATTATTTCTCTAGATCAGTTCATAAGGTGAAGTACATAAGGAATAAATTTCAGTACAATGTAGTACAAATATACATCTGTTATGCAAAGTAGAATTTGTCAATTCTTTTGAAATTTTTTTTAGGGGGACTGATTTTTTAAAAAGTGTCTCACTCTGTAGCTCAGGCTGGCTTTGAACTTACAACAGTCCTCCTGCTTCTGCCTCCCAAGTGTTGGAGATTACAGGCTTGTATCACTATGCCCAGATTCTTTTGAAATTTTGATGCATTATATCATCCATTGTTGAAGAAGTGAGAAGAGAAAAAAGAAAAGAGAAGAAAAAGCAAAGAAGGGATTCTCTATAATACTTTTTCATAGTGTATAATTTTCAATAATGTATCATAAATTTCTGTAACAATTCCTGTAAAGGTGAAAACTTTTTTAAAAAACTCAGTCTATTGGTTTTTGAAACCTTAAGCTCACCCTTAGTTGTTAACACTTAATTATCAATTGTGCTTCCTCTTCATCCTTCCCACATACCTTTTTGTCCCTTTCTCTTTTTCTCCTCTTCCTTCTCTTTTCCTTTTCCTACTCACTCCCACTGTCTCTCTCTCTCTCTCTCTCTCTCTCTCTCACACACACACACACACCACACATGCATAAAGTATTTAATGTAATTTAATTACTAGTCCAAGATAATAAAGTAATCCCAAAAGACTGTCTAGATAAATGGTATAAATAGTAAAAAAACACACTGAGTTAAAGAAATCAAAGAATCGAATTTTTTATTCACTACATCCCCCAAGCCATTATTGTTCTGATAAATAATTTGTGTCAGATCTGGATAGGTAGAGGTTCTTTAAAATCTCAGCAAGTATACTTCTTCAGTTGTATTATAAGGAGCAGGGAAGAAAGAAAACAATCCAAGTCTGCAAGTCCAGTGAGCAAAAAGCACAATTCTTAGTGTTTAAAATGTTTTATATACCATTGTCCCTTTCTATACATACCAGCTTGGAGAAAAGCATCTCAGTGATTAAAATTTTTCTCAATGTATCTTCCAAATCCACAGGTAAATGATCAAACACCACACAGAGACAGAATGCACTTTGACATACAGTTTAGGCTCTGGTTTTAGATTATAGCAACTCGTATCACTGAACATCTTGGGTCTATGTTAGCCAAGTATAATAGAATTCAAGGGTATCAGTATAACTTTGGTTCAAAACTATGCAGAAATTCTTTATAATCTCATCTTTCATATCAGTTTTTAAAAATCTGGGTTTGCCAGACTCCTTTTGAAATAAAGTTAACCTGGGGTAGAAGTAAGCTAAAGTAAATCCCTAGAGTTTGGCCTATAATAAACTATGTTTCAGAAACCAACTGAATCTTGATCAGTTTTGAGTAATAAAAGTTGTTGAAGGAGAGAAAAAACAGGTGTGTGCATCATTTAGAAAATTTCCAATCGTGTTACTGAATAATGCATGTACACTATCTGAAACAGCACATTATCAAAGTTGCACTTTATCACAAAAGTGAAGATTTACATTAGACTAAATCCAAATATGAAATCTATTTTAATCAAATCACAAATGGTAAAGCTGTAACTTTTCCGATGTCAACAAAATTACTCTTTTACAACTGTGTAGCTAGCTCAATTAATATTAATCCTTGAGGAAGCGCTGCATTGTACAAATTTCTTTTTAAAAGACTGTTTAAAAGTAAGTTTTAATAAGCTAAGAAAACAAGATAAGGATGATACCAAATCTACACTACTCATTACAAATTGTGATACAGACAGCCTGATTTATGAAATGTCTACAAATACTATAGTCTTACTTCATCATACTATGGCAAAATATTACTGAGTGATGTAACACTGAAAAGATATTATTGTAATAAATATTTCCCCAAATCCAGGCAAAATTTTACTCTCCAATGGAATACAACTAAAATTACAAATAACAGAACCAAGAAAAGAAGTAATCATATATTAGGAGATGGCCCACCTTTCTTCCTGACTGGCATTCTTGAAGGGTCTTTCTTCTGCCACAGGACTCAAGGTATCTTCTCAAATCTCTGCTGGATGTAGCTGGATTGAGGCCACGAGCCAGGTAACTGACGAAAACCACTTCACCGCTCAGTTTTAAAATCCAGCCTCAGTCTTCTATTTCAGGTAAAGAAAATAAAAGATGTATGTTTTCTCCAACTAAACTTTGTATTGCTCACAGATTAGAGAAAAATAACTTCTGAGTTTTTTTCAAGTTTTTCAATTTTTATAAAATACGTATTATTTTTTTAAAAACTGAGAAATTTATTCTAAGCATAAAAAAGTTATTAAAACTCTTCAGGCAGCAACATTTTTGGAAGCCCAATGTCTAACTCAATTAAGGCACAAACCAAATTTAGACAGCTGTCTCACTACTTTATACATGATCAAATTCAATGACAAATTGATTGATGATAAAAATCCTCAATTCTTAGAGAAAAAAATTAACTCCTCCCTTCAAAAAATACTTTTAAGTCTCTTTGACTCTGGTCTTTAAAAAGATGCGGTAGTTTGAACAGTTTTGTGGGGTAGAACTCAGACTTAAAGGCCCCTTTCTATTTAATGAACCAGAAGTTCCAGATCTCACCCCCTCAGTAAGACAGGATCCAGCTTGCTGTCACTTTCATTTTATTTTTCTTCTGTGCTCTCCAAGCCCAGAAGGCTTGATCTTTAATGCCCCTCTGATTCTGATCCTCCCATGTATTAACCAAGAGGATTGAAAAGAAGGAAAGCAATCCCTTGGCATGGAGACCTTTAAGTGACAATGCAACTCAATGGGCACTTGATGCAAGATGAGTTGGCGAAGCAGATTTCTTCACACTGGAGTTATTCACATCATGCAATCTCTTCGCATCTAGCAGCTCCCTATCCGGCAAGGAAAAACACTGAGACTGTTCGAGAGGAGAAACCAAATCTTTTCCCAAAGCTGTTTGCAGAGATGCTGTAGTAGTATCAGGCATGCATAAGCTATGAAAACGGTCCGCGATGTCCTAAGAGTGCAGCTGTTTGGCGTCCACATCCACCCTTTCTCTCAATCTCTCTTCAAACTACCCACCTTCCTTTTGCAGAAAAGACATCTCTCTGCCACCGCTGGCCACCCCTGCCCACACCCCGATTTTATATAGAAGAGCACTAAAATGTCCTGCACCCTCCACGCGATGAAGTGTTTCCTCAGGCAGGAGAAACAGCAGCACTAGAAATTATATAACTCGAATTTGGCTTCTGTAAGACATGGAGACTGGAGGGTCGGGGGTGGCCGGTCTGGGAGATACTGCTGGGCACTGAACGCGCACAAAAGCGCGCCAGGCCTCCTCGCACACCCTCCGCCTGGAAACGCTGGCAGACAAGGGGGTTCTTCCTGGGGTGGGGGATTCCTCTCCCGGTGCCTGTCCAAGGAGGGCAAAAGGACGGAATATGAGGGGACTAAAGACTGGGGAGAGGAGGCGAGGCTAGGGGTGCTCAGGGAGCGCTTGCGCTGGCGGTTGGAGGCTCTGAGGACACGCCTGAGAAACCACAGCCTTAAACACGTAGGCCAGGTAGGACGGGCAAGCTCCTCAAGGTGTGGAAGGAGCAGACGGTCGGAGCCGCGCTACCCGGGCTGCCCGGAGGAGAGGAAAGCGTGCAGCGGCGCTCCGAAGCTCCAATTACCCCGCTCCCCTCAGAACGGACCTGCGAGCGAGCGTGACTAACAGAAGGGGGAGGAGACCCAGCTGTAGGGGCGGGCCCAGGGGCTCCCGGCCCCAGTGAGGAGCAGTCATTTCTAGACGCTGCGCCCAATCTCACGCAGGAGGGAGGGCGCGGCTTTTGACTGGGTGGGAGCGGGCACGAGAGGTACGAGCCCTCAGGCAGCAGCCCCGGCGTTGTGCGTTCCGCCCACCCGTGAGTCACGTGAGCCGCCAAGATGGCGGCACTCGGGCGCGAAGCTGGAGCGGACCCGAAGTGTACGGGTCAGCTGCCGATGCGAAACGGAGAAGCGCACGAGGTAGGAGAAAATGCGGGGTGGAATGGGCCGCGATTCCTGGAACCTGAAAGTGTTGGCCAACTCTGAGATGATACACGTAGAAAATCTGAACAACTAAAGAGAACAGCTGTAAGTCCATGGCGGGCTTAAATCAAGTTCCCAGTTGATGTGAGTGCGGGACGGACAGGAAGTAGGAGACCTAAATTCTAGATCATCTGTAGCTTGCTTTTTCTTGCTTCCTTGTACAGGCCTGACTTTCAATTAGGAGTACTTCTTTCCCCGCTTCGCTCAATTTGGACCAAATTCCTCTTTAAGATATTCGTTTAAATGTCAGTTTGTGCAGGCCTTTCTTTCATTTAGGAGTACTTTTCCAGTTCCTCTCAGTTTGGACCAAATTCCCCTCTAAAATACTCGTTTAAATGTCACTTCTCACACTTAAGACTGTGACTAGTTAAGTTTCATTTGTCCTTCTTTTAATAACACCTTCATTCTGTCTTTAAATTCCTGACATTTGTCCTGACTTCTGAATTGTGGGTTCCTTAACATACTGATTTTACCTTGATTACTCAGAGGTCCTGTATACACACCAGGTGCTCAATAAATGATGAACAAATGTTGAATAAAATGGTGAACGTCCAATGAAATACACACAGAAACTTAATGCACAAAACCAAAAAAGATAAGAAAAAAAAGCACAACACAACTGTAAAAATGCTTTGCAAACTATGAACCTACATAAATGCACTCTTAGATTACTTAATTTTTAGATGAAATATTGATTGTAGCAAAATCTTTACACATCAGTATGCAGTAGGTCCGGGTTTGATCTTCAGCAAGACAAGTCTGAAAGTTTTTAGTCTATCTGCTTAAATAAGGAGAGGAGTGAAAACAATCAATACTTGGACATCTTGTAAAGACTATTCTATAGATATTTGTTGTCTTATTATCATTATTTCAGTATTTACTGTCCTGTCATCAGTATCCTAAGTGGGTTTTTCTGCCCTCTACAAAGCTGAGGGTGTACACTAGGTAGATGATTGTTAAAAAACATTGATCACAGCAGAACAAAAATATATCTTTTTTGGTTGCTCATGTTGACATCTGTTTTCATGGTATACTAAATGGGTTAGTTGTAGATGCTCCTTCAGTTCTTACTCCCTCTTTTCTTCCATTTGCCATCTGGATGACAGAGAAAAGCCAAAGATTAAGTCTAGTCCCTGAAAAAAAACTGATTTGTAGCTTTACCCCCCCCATCTTCTCCAGATATTTTGAAGATTGAACTGGCTTAACTACAGTCCTGCAGTGATGCAGGAAAACTTGTCCATTTTTAATTGTATAACTCCTTATATTAAGTTCAAAGAATCAATACCTTTTTGTGTATTGATCACATATATTGTAGATGAATTGGTCTTTCAGTAACTAAAGGTGTATCTATGGACTACATACACTCTTAGAAACCCTTGATGCTAATAAAATGGAGATTCTGGGCCTCACCTTATTACTGTTGAATTCAGTATCTCAGGAGGAAGCTCAAGAGACTGTATTTTTTAAAAAATGGCTCATGTGATTTTTGTTCACACTAAAGGCTAAACACCACTAGTTACTGTATGTTCCTTATGCCTAATCTACTCTAATCCTCATGTCTAGGATTCCTAAAATTTGAGATTTATATGAACTTGATTATAAAAATTGTTGGAATGAAGATTGATGTAATTTGTGTAGGGCCTTAGATTTTATATCAAATTATTGGCTAATCTGAAGTACAGAATAAAAAGCTTTGAACTTTGCATCAGTAGACCTTCCAGTTAACTGATGTAGTAAGTAAACATTTGCAAGCGCAATTTGGATTTGAAAAAAAGTTCATATTTCTGTGTATGAATGAAATTAAACACAATTCTAAACTCCATAATGCCAGAGTGGCAAAAGATATAACAAATGTTATTATTAAGACTTCTTATGAAGATAAAAAGTCTCGCCTAGATCAAAACATCAGAAGCAATCCTTTCTGAGACTGAATTTTTTGTTTATTTTTTAACCTGACTGGTTTTTATAAGATGCTACTGGCCAAACATTTATGGTTCCTTAATATCTGAAATGTTAGCAGTGATCTGCTCATCACACTTGGAACTTTGAACACAGGAATCTTCCATCCCCATGGCCCAATGCCAGTGCCAAAGCTCTGTGGTGTACCACATAACTTATTTCTGACCAACGCCCTGCTTCTGCCTCAGGTACTACTAGAGAACTGAATGTGTTAACATTTAAACCAGGGTACCTATGATCTGCTTCTTTCCAGACTTCTAGTTACTTTCTTGGAATGACTGAGACAACTATACTAAAACAAAAGCTCAGTATCAGTAACTCAGTAAGCTAACATTCTATACTAAGTCCTATGTAAATCAAACTCTCAGAACTTGGATTTACTCATCTGCAAAAATAAAGGTGATCATCCTACCAATTTCTCAGTTACTGTATGACTCAAGAAGCTATTTTTAACATATAATAGCTCAGTAAATATTGATTAGATCATTCACTTAAAAGTATTTCAAAGCTGATGACATAGTAGTACCTGGTCCATTAATAGACTCTAAATATTTTTTAATCAATCTGTATAATTTTATACAGTTTTATTTAGTATAAACATCATTGTTAGTGATTTAGATGTAGAATGTCCCCCCAAAAAATCTCATGTGTTCAGAGGTGAGGCTTTTGGAAAGTGATTAGAACATGGGAACATTACATTTACCAGCCAATTATAGGGGAGTGACCTGGAAGTGTGTGTGTGTGTGTGTTTGTGTGTGTGTATGTGTATCCTTTCCCAGCTCCTCCCTTTGCTCTGTGCTTCCTGGCTGCCATAAGTTAAACACCTTTTTCCAGTGCCATACCCTTTGTCATCCTGTTTCTCCCTTGAAGTCAGCCAACCAGGGACTGAAACTATAAGCCAAAATAATCCTGTCTTCCTTTAAGTTGTGTCTGTTGGGTATTTTGTCCCAGCAATGGGAAAGTAAGACTAAAATTGGTACCAGAGAAGTGGGGGTGTTGCTATAATTTTACCTGACTGTGTGGTTTAGAAGCCTTCAGAACTGCTTTGTGGGAGGACTTTGGAAAGGTTTTGAGATTGCTATAAACTGAACTTGATGGGAGTTTCTGGCCAGACTTCAGAAGACCAGAATGCTGACAGTAATGCAAGCAGTAAAGACCAGGCTTAGAAGGTTTCAGTTGAGAATAAGGATTCTATTGGCAGTTGGTCAAGAGGCCATGTGTAGCAGAAAATTTGTCTTTCTTTTGCCCATGTCCTAAGACTATAGGAGACAGATTAAGAGCGGTGGACTAATTAATCAGGCAGAGGAAATTTCAGAGCAGCCCATAATTAAGGCTATGAGATAGTAGGTACCGGTGGCTACTTTTAGCCAGATATACAGTAAAAATCAGGAGCAAAAAGGCCATGTGAAAGTTTGCTGTTTCATCACAAATGAAATAGCTGCTAAGGAAAGCATGGTTGCTAAAAGATTGGCAAAAAAAAAAAATTTTTGTATCAGGATAATAGGAAAGATGACTTGAAGGCATCTCAGGAATCAGCAAGACTCCACTCTTGGCAGATTCAAGGGTACAAAACTGTAAAATTTTCATTTGAGTAGCGAGACCCTAGGACCCCTGCTTGCAAAGGGATGCCAGGAGAATTGGTTTTAAAGGATTTGTTTCACAGTACAGATTCATTCAGGCTCTCAGAGGCCTCCTTCAACCATGATCTAAGAAGACCTGTGTGCTGCTTGAACTGTCAGACAACCTTGGTGTCATCCATATGGTACTGATTTTTCAAACATGGAATTCAGGAGTCATGAGGTTAGGGAGTCTTCTATCCAGATTTTAAAAGGTCATGGAGGCCTGCCTGTGTGCCCTTGAGAGGCAGTGCATGAAGCTATGAGAGTGAAGCCAAAAGTTCAGTGACCTCAGGAAGTTAAGAGATGAAAGGAATGTGTAACATCTGCTTAGAAAAGCCACAAGGAATGTGCGGAGCCATCCCCAGAGACAAGTCATATGGACTGGAACCAGCAATGCCACAGAAGTGGGGCCACTCAAGTCCTTTGGAGTTCACATCTTAAAACCACTTGCCCATGGTGCTGGATATAGGGATTTGATGTTTGTCCTGCTGGGTTTCAGTCATCCTTTGGTCTGATTCCTTTCTATCCTGCCTCTCCTTTTTAGAATGGGAATGTTTACCCTATGCTATTGTACATTGGAAGTATTTAACTTTCTTTTTTATTTTTACAGGGGCTCACAGCTAAGATACCTGAAGGGTGTATCTAAGAAACTAAGGCAACCATGATATTATAGCTGTGGAGTTTTGTTTTTCCAGGGCATGAAGACAGCAGTATATACACATGCTCAGTCCAGTTCTGCTGTGGGAGATGCAAAATTCAGAAGACCAATGGTCATTGATGTTATAGAAAAAAAATTTGAGAATCTTAGAAAAGACAAGTAAGAGACATACCCAGACTGGTATTCAGTAACTTTATTTACAGATCCTTTGGGTGAAATCTGATGAATCATGAACAAATCTGTCTAGGCTAATTAAGAATAATTATTTTCTAGACATCCTAACCAAATGTAAATACTTTTTTTCTAAATGACTTTATGGAAATTAATTCTTTTAAGAAGGAAAGGTATTCTTGGAAATGACTATCATAAAATTTGGATTTATTGGAACATATTTATATTTGTTTATAGTCACCAAAGAACTCCATTTTAGAACCACTGTAAATATTCTCCAGAAAAAAATCATATCCTCCAATCAGACTGCAACTTCCATGATGTGTAGGATTTGTTTTTCCTTGCTTAGCTTTGTTCATTGCCCCATCCTTGGTATTTAGAAAATATTTTTTGCATAGTAAGTGCCCAAGAAATATTTGATGCTGGGTGTATACATAATAACTATTGAGGAAAGGATAAATCTATTACAATAATATTATGTTAAACCTAATTTTATTGTTTTTCCTATTAGGACCTTAGATCTACATGGAACAGTAACACTTGCAACAGCAGCTAGTTTTACTGGAATAGTGTCAAACTTTGTTTTGAGAAGCTCTTTCAGTGTTACATATGATGCTTTGAAGACCTATGCATCGTTAACTGCACTTCCATTTTTGTCTACCATAGTTACTTACAAGTTCCTTGTAATTGATCCTTTGTATTCAGGTAAAATTTAAATTCATTAATATGTAATGTTCATTAACATGTAATGTTATATCTAACAGGTAATATTATATCTAGTTACTCATTGACATAAGCTAATAATCCCTGACCTTTATGTTTTGCTTTGATACATACAAGTACCTTCACATATGTTTTTCTATTTGATCCATACAACAACCCTGATCAGACAGGGCAAGTAATACTCCTTTTTTATAGATAAGTGATCAAAACAGAGACATATTCAGGTAATGAGAAACACAATGCTGTATTGGGCAAAAGCAGATTTTGGCATACTACATACGTGATTTCAGATCCTACTTCCTACTACTTGAGTTTTGTAACATTTTAAAAAAAAGGAAAGGAAGAAAAAGTTTTGTAGCACTGGGCAAGTTGTTTAATTTCTGAGCCTGTTGTCTTATCTGAATTAGGACTAACAAGATAATTTTCACAGGATTGTTCTAAGAATTAAAAGATGCTTTGTATTAAATGCCTAACACAGTATCTTACATGTTATGGGCTTATGGAATAACATGTAATGTTATTCCTGACTCCTCCTCTTACCTTAAGTTTTCCAACTGGTAACTGATGGAGCCTCTACTCTCTGTTCATTTTCTAAGTCTTTGCTTAAATATCCCTTCCCTAAAGAAACTAGCTGGGCACGGTGTTGCACACCTGTAATCCCAGCACTTAGAAGGCTGAGACAGGAGGATCGCTGTGAGTTTGAGACCAGCATAGGCTACACACTGAGTTCCAAAGCAGTCTGAACTACATAGTCAGACCCTGTCTCAAAAAA